TATTTAAAAAGTATTTAATACTCTTTACTGTTTGGCTGCCACTTGAGAAAAATATTTTGGTATAATAGAATATTAAACATTTGGAACCGTTTAGAAAAGGGCGTTGTCAATGCTTTTGGAGTAAATGGGTATAAAAATAAATTATATGATGCCTTAATGAATCAATTATATATTTGTTTGGAAAGCGGGTATTGATATATACTATTGCTCAAACGTGTTTTAAGAATGAGGGTATTTTTTAAGGAGAGAATTAACTTTTGTTTAGGTTTATTGATGGTGTAACGGTTAAAATGCCTGGCACTGCTGTTACAGTGACTGGATTCAAAAGCAAGAATTTCTCCGCTCATCACTTTCAGTGTGTGTATATTGTTGATCCACGTATAATGCAGCTAAAACTTCTGAGAATTGCTAAAATAATGGTTGTAAGAAAAAATTATTACGAAGGTGTTTAATAACATAATTTAAATTTATATTTTCACTGTTACAAAGTTGACATAATAGGTTTTCTTTTTTTGATAATTTTTAAAAATGTTAATGAATATTTTGATTCATTCAGAAGCCACAGAAACATACATCGGCTGCTATCGAGAAGTTGTTGAAGTGAACGCTGGCATTGTTGACTCCTACGAAGGCTGTAAAATGTTATGCCGGAATGAAGTTACGTCCTACATAGCTTTGCATGTTTGTGCCTTCTCTAAATATCAATTTGCTTTCAGTTTTAAATATAACTTATCTCCCAATAATACTAAAATTGTTTAAGACCATTGAATGAAAACAAAAATTAAAATAAATAATGTAGATTTTCGCCGGGCACCATTCGAATTCCGCACCACGCGGTCCCGAACCGCGTCCGCATACGAATATCCACCCGAGCCTTCGCTTCGGCGGAGTCTTTCCTGGCCGGGATCCGCCACTCTACAATAGACCCTCTCAGGGTCTGAAAACACGGGCCGGGCGGAAGTTTGTTCGCGCCCTGCTTGTTGACTAGAGACGCCGACCTCGTCAACTATCAACAAGTCTTCTTCAACATCCATTATTTTAGGTAGAATAATTAAGCCGAGCCAAACTTCAAGTGTACACTTCTTTTATTCAATAAAAGAAATAAAATAACAAACAAAATAATACAAATCAAACCTCTGTCCTTATTAAAACAAAACGATAAGTCCAAAATTAATCTATTCATAATACAACTGACAAGCAAGAGACCAAAACCTAAAATTAAGATAACAAACGATCAGCCCCTTCTATATCTCAACTCGCGGCCTTTTATATGTTTTTACCGCCCTATCTACATAACGCTTTCTATATCATAGAAAATTCTATACTCCTATCTATACTCTTTTCCTATACTCAGAAAAGCGATACAGCACAGCAGCGTCGCATATATAGCATATCAAATAACAAAATATACATGCATAGAATGTTTAGTAAAATATATAGATATATATAGGCGGCACGCCTCAAAGACGCAATCATTATCATCACAATCGCCACAATTTCACAAAATATACAGGCGGCATATTTCAATCGCGCAATCATTATCATCACAATACAGGCGGCATATTTCAATCGCGCAATCATCATCATCACAATCGTCACAACTTCACAATAATAACAATATTTTCAAATTAATTTTAATTACATTTGTTTTGTATACCTTCTATCGTTATTTACGTGGTATATACTTTCAAATTCAACATTGGTGTAGGAAAGTGATTGACTCTGAAGTGTTGAAAGAATTTTATTATTTTATTTCTAAAACCGATTTTCCAAGCTCGTTGTTTTTTAAAGATATAAGTAGCGTTTCTTACTCACCCTCTTGTTTGAAGCACGTTCAAATTAAAACTTGGAGTTGTCCACTATGTCGTATTATTTGTTGAGAAGTATTTAAGATTTGACGAAAGGGTTCTGTTCAACTTGAAATATAATTAAAAAGTTCTAACATTACAAATTTTTGAATAAAAATCACACAAGTAGCCTTAGATAGGTAATCAAAAAAGCTAATTAATTGCAACTTAATCGGGCAGCTCTTTATTGTCCAATATACTCTGTTTCTGCTATGTTGAGGGATTTGGATTACAACTTTTAACCACTCTCACTTTCAGTTTATCCCGCAATATCAACAAAAGCCGAAATTTGTTCAATTTTTAAATATTTCCGGACATTAGTTTTTCTTTAACTTTCAATATTTTAATTTGTCCAAACTCATCTGTACCTGTGGTAGCCCTAGACTGAAGTGCCTTCAGTGGATGAGTAGGATATTTATAGAAAGTTTGCTGCACATGTTTTCATTTTATCATTCCATTTGTGTTGACATCTGAAAATTAATTTCATTAATTATTAATATTTGAAACGAACTGGATTTTTAAAGTTTTTTAGTCAAATATAAAATCCTAATCTATCCTTTCTTATTTTATTAATTATTTTAATTTATATCGTTTGAAATAATTGTATTACAAAGTAATAATTTGTTAATAAAGATGTTTTTTTTCAATTTAGAAAGGAAATGAATGTTATTGCGTGGCGAGGGCTAAGTACGCTGTGAATTCTAAATTCTGCAATTTGAAATGTAAAAGTGGAGAAGATGGTTGCGGTGGAGATAAGTACTACTCACTTTTCTCCAGTCAGATTTTACCACCATTGTTTTATTTCTTTAATTCTGATGTTTTATTTTGATTGCTATGTTTTCACCTTATACATATTATTATAAACGTATAAACGTATTTTATAATTATTAATTTGTTTTTTTAACATTATTATAATAATTGTTGTTGTAGTTATTAACATTGAACAGTTTTTTAGTCTAAAATAAAATAGATAAATTGAAAGTTTATTAACAATTATTATGAGCTTTCCGTTTTACTTCTTTGGGTGTCTTGAAGAAAAAATCTAAATAGTTTAACTTGATCAAAATTTCATTTCATCATTTTTATAATTTTTACGAGGTCACAATTTACTTTCACTAATTCATTACTTTTAACTCAGTCAAGGCAACGACAGACTACAACCACTCGCTTCTAGATATTAATAACAACGTGAAAGAGTTTGGAAATGATGGAATACTAAATAGACGTACATTAAATAGCGATACAAGTTTAACAACTGAAAAGTGTATTTTAAAGTGCATGGAACTTCATTATGACATAGCATCAGTATTTCACAATAAAACCGTTGTGAGTAAAACATTGTTTCACTATAGCAATTTTTTATTAATAGCAATAACATAACATATAACATAAACAGAGAATAGAGAGGCGCGAACTGACGTTCCTATGCCTCCATCAAATGAAAAGCTTCCATTGTATTTTAAAAATAATAAAATAAATAAATGAAGTAAAATAAAGTTGGATGAAAATACTGATTGTTAATGATAAATATCTATGTATACATATATATGTGTACATACATACACATATATACACACACTCACACACGCATTAGCCCACACACACACACACACACACACACACACACACATTATCCACAAAGATGTCAAAGATAATATAAATATATAAACTATGACATTGTGCCAAGCGAGGATCTCCAGTTGAACATCATGTCCGTAGAATTCATATGTCGATCCAACTTCATTTTAAATGTTTCAACATCTTTAGCCATCACAATGTCCGATCCAAGCCGTTCCATAACTCAACCACCCTATTGGAAACAAAATTTCCCATGATTCGTGTTAAAACTATGAGTAGACAACTTGAACGGATGACCCCTGGTACGATCATCGTTAGGTTTTTTTAACACAGGATAACACGATGGTAATACGCTGTTCCTAGTTTTGTTGAAAACTGTGATAAGATCACCTCTGATTCGTCTATACCTCAGTCTTAATCTCTGTTCATAATTGAGACCAATACAATCTTTCACCATTCTTGTGGCCCTCTTCTGAATCCGTTCAATATCTTCTATAACTTTCAAAGACCAGGGAGACTACACCGAAGCAGCATACTCTATCTTTGACCTGACAACTAACAAACATAATAAATTAAATGAAATAAACACGAAAACCCAGAAGCTTTAAAAAATTAATTTAAGTTGTGTAATATTTTTAATAAATGTTTAATTAAGGGTCGCCACGAATGTCATTGTGGTTACCTTCATCATGATGATGCTGACGGATACCCTTTTCACTTCAAAACGCATTGCAATGCTAAATGTCCTGGAGATGATAAACAAATTTGTGATTGCATGGCCAAGTATTCAAGTAAGTCTAATACAGGTTTTTTTGTTTATCAGAGCCGAATATAAATAAACGGAAATTAATGGTTTGATAAATTAGTTATTACCAATTTTGTTGTTCCAATTTGTTTTTATTGTTATTATTATTTTTGCTGATGTTATTATTTTTAAGATAATTTCTTTATATATGTAAATTATATTTCATATAATTATCTATGTATTTCTATTCTGTGTTTGTAAATTATGTTTCATTACTTTGGTATTATCTTATATATAAATGCAAATAGCACGTGGTTATATTTTATTATTGTTGGTTTTGTAAACGATCCTGGAATTTAATTTTTCTACTTAGATTAATAAATCAGGTTATTCGAAAGTAAACTTATAAATTAAATTCTAAAAAGAAGATGGCTTCAAAAACAAGTAAGTTGTATTTTCATATTATTAAAAGAAATAATGACGAATTTGAATTAGTGGGCATATCGGAAAATAAAGAAACATGGTATGTCCTACCTGAAGAGAAGAAAGATTTAAGTTTGCACGAAGCTCTATCTACGAAGCGAGCAATAATCAATACAATTAATTCTATCAAACCTATCAACGGTTATCGCACAATTTGCATCAAACTCGATGATAATTGAGAAAAGAATATTACGACGAAGACGAAAATCTATATTTTTAGATAATATGTTAGAAGAAAAAATTATTTATAATAAACATATAGATGAATCAGATGACAATTTTTTAAATGAACGAATTAAGAAATTAGAAGCTAAGCTAAGTCTGAATGATAACTTTAAGCTGCAAGACGTTGAAAAAAAATTTATTTTGAAAAAATTCAACAAAAAGCAAAACCCTACTGAATGGATGGAGAAATTTGAAAATGAATGTAGAAGGCATAAAATACTAAATCCTACTAATATCATAGAAGCATTACGCTTCTTTTTATTTGGGTCACCGGAAGATTGGTACGAATCAAATTTAAAAAAGATCGGGTTAACTAATTGGTCAGAATGGAGAAAGTCCTTTCTGACCATTTTTGCAGATAGAGGTTGGAAAAAAATAAGAACCGCTTATAATTACAAATATTTAGGTGGTTCTTTAATAGACTATGCCTTAGCGAAGGGAAACCTATGTTTAAAAATTGAAATGTCGAGAATAAACATGATCGTTATGGGCCTTCCTGTAGAAATACAAAACCAGCCTGATAGAAAAGAAATAACGACCATTGAGAAACTGTTCAAAGAACTAACAAAAATTGATGAATGCGTTTCTAACATCAAGCCGAAATATGACAATAAATTTTTAAGCAATGAAATACCATACCATACGGATGTCAAGACAAAGCAACTTTATCAACACAAGCAGAGATATGAAAATGTAGACAAAGAAATATTGGTACCAAAATACAAAGACAAATAATACTCTAAATAAACAAAATCAAACATATGAAAATAACACTCTAAATAAAGAAAATTTTGTTAGACCAAATTTTATCAGGTCAGAGAAGAATATTAATACCACAGCAAATAAACCATGTTTTATGTGTGAAGAATTGGGCTGGAAAAATCGATACCATCCAACAAATGAATGTAGAAATAAGACTCTTTACTCATCAAAAAGAGAAATTAATATTCATGATACTAACTACCAAACAGATGACGAAGCACATATGATGAAAATTGAAATTGACAAGAAATCTTTAAACTAGAAAGCCCGGGAAAATTGAATGCTC